CCACGGTGGACGGCTTGGACACGCCGCTGGAGGTAGACACCAAGATAGCAAATGCCCTGCTGGGTCTCGCCACCGAGGCCTTCGTCGCAGCGCAGCTTGCTAGCCGGGACGCCAGCATCACGGCGCTCCGGGGGGCCAAGGCCGACGCGACGCTGCTGGCCTCATACGCCACGAACGCCGCGCTCTCGGCCAGCGAGACCACGCTCCAGAGCGCCCTCGACGCAATCCTCGCGGTGCTCGCAGCCCTGCAGCTTTCCGGCAGCGGCGGAGTTGTTAACGCGCCGGCCTGGGCGGGCTTCACGACTTGGGAGCTCGTTCGCGGAAGTAACGTCGTTCGCAACCTGCATTTCGTGGCTCCTCTCTCTGCTGCGCTTGCCAACGGCGACGACACGCTGAGCATCACCTGGAGTGGTGGTCAGACCGAAAAACTGGTCATTTGGCCACTTTTTTTTGGTCAGATGATCCGACCAGGCACTTGTGACATGTTTTTTGGTCAGATCGTGCTATGTGTGGCCAAACGACCAAAACCGCATCAGCTGAACGCCATCTATAGCCTTACACGTGCGCACACACGTCATCTGCAGGCCAGTACGAGGAACCAAAGTGTGATATTGGTCTGGCTTAACATACGTCTTGAGCCAAATCATGGAGTTTACATGGCGTGTGTGCATGGGTGCAGGTGTGTGTGTGTGTTTGTGCGCAGGGCCCCCAAGAACTAATGGTGGCTTCTTAAGTTTCCTCCAATCTCAAAAAGTGCGCTAACAAACGCATATGAATAAGTTGCACCTAAGAAAAATTGCATCCAGGGGTGTCGTTTTCAGGACCATCTAGAAATGATGGGCTATATAGTACAATTGTCCTTCAACATCATCTCATCAACCTCAAAATCATAGTTGGGGTGCAGTACCTTGTAAAATAAAAATGTATGGGTCTATAGTCTATAAATACGTACGCATCACACACACACGGACGCAAATGCCAAACGTGCAACGCAAAAATCAAATGTTTCAGAAGCTCCCAGCTGAGCATTCAATTCCTGAAAAACTGATTGATGCAGGATTCAAACCAGCAAGCCCAGGATTGTTTTACCCACTGCCACCTTTGCAGCACTCTCTTCGGGAGTGTTGCGCCATGAAGTGACCCCTTGGCCACAGCACAATGCTGCCCCACATTGTCCTCCTCGCCCCAGCAGCTGGAGGCTCTTGGGTTCAGGAGACCCTCTCGAAGGATGGTCTCACACAGAAAAGAGTGAAACTTTGGTCGCACTTTCCATCGCGGCCTGATCTGGCTCACGGCCTCACGGGCCAAGTACACATAGAGCTGACAATACAGTTTCCCAAGCCTTGGTCAAAGCAAGGTTTCTTGAAACTGCCACGCATTGTACACCTGAAGAAGGGCGCGCAAATATATGCCAAGCCACTCTGTGGATCGCTGCTTCTGTGGCACAGTGAGCCACATCGGACAGGTGTCAAGGTGGTGCGCCAGTGCAGTGCAGCAGGCACGTGCAGCTCGTCTGTGTTGGATTCCTCGCAGTGCGACGATCCAGTGAGCACACACGCAATGAGAATTCATGCACGCCCAACAAAACGCGGGCAGGCCACGGCAAGAAAGGACGCCAGGAAGCTGATCCTCAGCTTCAGTGTTAACGTATGTTCAGCTCCATCTAGGGCAGGCGCTTGTACAAAATTACAGCTCAAGCACACATCATTGCACAAGCCAAGTTTCATCAGGCGATTTGCATAAGCCTTGCCATAACCCAAAGGAAAGTCGTACGCAAGTGCCTCGACGTGCAACTTCTCCAGACCTTGGGCCAACCGTGACGACAAGCGCAATGGCTGGCACACAAATGAACAGCGCCCCCCCGCGCGCCAGGCCACTCAACTCCTCCAAACTAGATGGGTCCAGATGACGTTGACGACACCAGGACCGCGCCATCATCACAATCTTCTCCAATCGCTCATTCCAGTGATCGCCCACCTCCAAGAAGCTTTCATGATGTTCCACTGCTTCCAACAACAAGCTTCCAACTGCATCATGTCCAGTGCCAAGCCAAACAGTGTGCAAGATGTCCACGTACTCCATAGAGCTGTGCCACCCAGCTAGAGACCAAAGCCTCTGCAGAACAGAATTCATCATGTTGTCAAGCAAGGGAGCCCAATTAAGAGAGCGCTTGGATCCAAACCTGGTTACGTGATGTGCATGAAACCAGCATCGCATAGCAGCCCAGGCGCGCGATGTCTGAGCCAAAGCCTGAAATACAAAGAGGTTTGCCGCGCAATTCACTAACATGACAGCAATTCTGACATACAGGACAGCAAGTTCTGACATAGCGCCAGGTGGCAACAAGCTGATGCTTCTGCTACTTCGTCAGGCGCATTGAACCGCAGCTCCCACACATCCAGAAAACTGCGATCTGGGCGCCCAGTCCAGCACCTCCTGCAGATCAGGCCATGCGCATGGGCTCCTGCGTGGTGCATGTAGTTGCGTGTCTCCATGCACCATTCCTTTTTAAACTTCGCATCGCCCTTTCCCATCACCTGATAAATTCGCCACTCGTCCAGTTCGGGCAATGGATCTTGCAGCGTGCTCAGCATGCGAACCCAGTGAGTCTGCAGCGTTTGCAGCGTGACGTTGGTCCCGCGCATGTCGTACACATAACAGCGTGCTGGGACAACCTGAAACAGTGAATTGACACACTGTGGCGGCGCACTACGTGGCGGTGCACTACATTGCAAAGCATTAAATTATACAACTAAACATATGTTCAAGACCAAGGTGCTGCAAAGGGAAACTTGTTCCTCCATGCCACATCATGAACGCCCATGCCTGGCAAGATGCATCCATTCGCACAAAACATGTATAGAGCCACCAGGCCTGACCAGCTCAGGACCATAAGGTTTTTCCTTCGCTTCCCTTCGCCTTCATCACCATGAAAAGAAATGGCGCAGCTTCGGGCACGGTGGCTTTCTGCCAGGGCCTGCACAGGGTGCTGCCTCAGTTGTCAAAGCACACGTGTTCCAAATTGATCATGCCACTGTGCAAGCAAGCAACGCACCCCATGGCTCTGTCTTTGCTTTTTCCCAGAAGTCCAGCCAGTCAATGTCCCCTGTCCTTAAGGAGCCACAAAACTGAATCGTGAATTGACTCATGCAAATTCCACTGCGGAAAAACATCTTGAAATAATGCCACCAATGCTCACCAAACTGAAGCACCCCGCTGACGTCATGCCCTTCATCATGTTGAGAGGGCTGTACACGGGCCACTCACGATACACCACAGCAGGAGGTGCGTTCCATTTCTTCTTCATCTTTCTTTTACTCTTTCTCTTATTGTTCTTGGCTTTTGCAGATTGCCCCGGTCGCCTCTTCTCATATGGGTCAACCAATGGAAGGACGATGGTTGTGAGCGGGCATTTAATTGCACGATCCTCACATGATGCAGCACACATAGGTGCAGAACCAACTTAAGGTTCACCGCATGCAAGCATGGCAATAATGTACACACGTGTACACAGCACATACTTAAATTCACCAAGTTGCATCACCTCCTTTTTGAGTGGCCATGTGGATAGCTTGCTCACACCGTCCAGCATCCCGCAGACTGGCAGCCCAGCGAGTGCCTTTGCAAAGTTCAAAAATGACAAGGAGTCACATGTCTCCACTAATTCAAACCAACTTCCAAAAAGGAGTCTGAGTGAATTGTGCCTAAGAAACGTGCTATGGAATGCAATTTGCTAAGGGGATCTCACGAAAGATGGGTTTCTTTGTGGGCTTCCTTCAAAACAAAACTCTCATGAATGATGATCCAAGGAAAACACTGCGCATATTACAAAAGGTTGCGCGCAGGAATAGTTGCTGGTGGTGACAGCATCTGCGCCGCATTCTCTCACACAAGCCTCAGCCATATCCTTCACCAGCTTAGCAGATTTGCCACGTCCAACCTGGGAAGCTGCCAGCTGCATGATCGGGCTTTCGCCCAATGTCATTTTTCTTTTGGGCTGCGGTTTGCATACAGCGTGGTTGTTGATCTTCTGCAAGCGTTTCCACATGGCTGCGCATGAAGACACGCAGGGAAGTCAGTCATGCACACAGCTCACATTTATCTGCATCTATATTGGCCCTTGCAAAACACAGTGCTCGCATGGGTGTGTGTGTGATGTGATCTCCAATGCACCATTCACAAGCTTTGATCCACTCTCAAATCGGCAAGGTGTGAACTTAAGGTGAGGCAACACACGCAACGGTTGACTCACTGTTCAAGCATATGCAATTGATCCTGAAACAACACGCACACACTAGCTTTTCATCTCACACATCAGTGAACGTCGATCGAAGGCTTCACTGCAAGCATACACACAACCCCCACATCCAGTGCACTGGACCAAGCCTGGAGTTGCAAACAAAGGCACACTTTGATGTTGCAAGGTTGCATACTCAGTGCATCCAGCGCACACACATGTGTGTGTAGCTGCAATGTGATCTTCACATATTGAAGCCGCCCCTAGCTTGGATCATAGCAAGCGCGCCTACAAGAGCCCATGACGAGGCCTGGCAAAGCTGGTAGTTCTTGAATGTTCTTGAGAGTGCTCAGTCAACATCTCAATTGATTCGAAATCATTTACTGGCACCATATCACCCAGCCATGCCAATGACCTCACTTATTGGCGCCCTTTGCCTTTGGATGCGCCTTACCCTTTGGTTTGGCAGCAGCAATTAGTGTCTGGGCGGTGCGGGTGTGCTTCTTATAGCCTTCAACAAACCCGGACCCGCGATGCAACACTGCCTGCACATCTGCAGGGCTTGGGTCGGACAAGCTCAGAAGTTCACGGCGCATTCGGGCAAGCCCATCACCAGCTGTGCTGATCAGCTGCGCCAAGGCTTCTTGCGATTCAAATTGCTCAAGCCTGAAGTACACACAGCCGCACATTCAAATAATCCATGGGCTCAACCCGCATGTCCAAGCCATTCAATCAGCAGCCACACACACACACCACGCAAAAGTCAAAAGCCAAGCAGCTGTGCCACTAGCTGAGCACATTGCCCTTGCGCAGCGGTTGCACTCTGGATCCAGGCCGGGATGAACAAGGCCAGCTCTCCATTCTCAGGCAAGTGGAGTTCCATCTCCGAGCCAGCTTGCTTCTCCTTACGCTGCTTCTTCTTTGCTTCTGCCTTCGGCTTTGGGGATGGAGTGCTGCCTGGTGGGTCCAAAACACGCAAGGGTGCACCCGCGCTCTGACTTGCCACAGCGTTCGCCCCGAAGTGGCCCATCAGTGCCATGGCCGTACCTGGGTCAGCACCCAACTCTGCCGCTACTTCATCGATCCTTTTCGTGACCACCTGACGCTCCTGCTCAGAGTACCAGAGGAACGTTTCGGCACCAGTGTTCCTGCAGGTGCTGGTGCCATTGGCCTCGCCCCGCCGCTTTTGCGCAAATCGCCCTGCTGCGCAGGTGTCGCCGCTGTGCTTCGACACCACCGCGTCCCACACGATGTAGTGACCTGACACACTCAGTCAGCACGAATGTACTCACACACTTATTAGAAAGGCCTCTGTCCGTGTCAGAGACTTCCTGCATCTTGCGAAACCGCAGCACGGTCTCCACTGCCAATGGGTCTCCTACAGAGAAACGGTGCACTTTTGAAGTACAATTTAGAAACACCCACCTTCCGCCAGCACATACTTCTGGAAAGCTGCCAGCCGTTCATCTCCACCACGCCTGAACTGCAACCAACGCAGTTCAAAACAAACACATCATGCAAAGACTCTGAGTAAACAAAAACATCAATTGCCAAGCCAAGAAGCTCCCAAGCCCTCTTGAGCTCATCAACTTGCCCGTACATCTTTCCTTTGGCAACACGCCTGAAGGCAGCATACTCTTTTGGATGTGTGCTGCTGTTTGGCCCACTGGATGCAGTGGAGCCCACGGGCTGTCCAGGTGCGACCTTCAAACTTCCCTTTACAGGGAGATCTGATGGCGCGGGGTTCGGGCTGGCAGTAGTTGCCGGCTCCACTTGAGTAGCGGGCGATGGTGCTTGCTGCTGCACCATGGGTGTGCTGCCTGGGGCAATTGTCTGTTGGGCAGGCAATCCTGTTGACTGCAGAGCCAACTGCACTGGTGGGGCTGGGGCAGGGTTCTGCGAGGGCTCTGCCTTGACTGCTGGCTGCTGGGAGGGCAACGGATGCAATGGCTGCTGGTGAGGGGTAGCAACGGCCAGCTCAACCATTGTCTGCTGGGATGGGGCAATTGGCGGCACTGCTGGCTGCGATGGCAAAGCAACCTGCGTGGGCTGGGGCTGCGCTTCAACCTGTGTTGGCTGATGGGAAGGCAAAACCATCGGTGCATCTGCTTGCTGCAAGGCCAACTCTGGCACAACATGCATTGTCTGCTGGGATGGGGCAATTGGCTGCACCGCTTGCTGCGCTGCAAAAGCAATCTGTTGGGAGGGGGCAGCTAGCAACTCTGGCTGAGCAACCTGCGCTGGCTGTTGGGAGGGCTGCGCTGGCAGCATTGGCTGCTGCAAGGGCTTGGGTGCAACCGCAACTGGCTGCTGCAAGGGTTCTGGATGCAATGGAGCCTGCTGCTGCTGCAAGCAGTCTGGCTGCACTGGAGCAACCTGTGCTGGCTGCTGCTGGGAGGGTAGTGGTGCTGCCGCCGGCAACTCTGGCTGTGCTGCAGCAGCAACCTGCACTGGTTGGGAGGATGGCGGTCCTGCCTCAGGCGTTGCTGGTGGAGCGTCCTGCAGTGGCTGCTGCAAGGGGTGGGTTGGCTGCATTGCCAGCACTGGCTGCTGCAATCCTGCGGCTGGGGGCCTTGCTGTTGTTGCGCGCTCTGTTGCGTCCATGGGTGTTGCCTCGCAAGGGGCAACTTGTTGGCTGGGCTGTGGGCCTGACCCAAGTGTGTCAGGCAAAGTTGGAGCTGGCACTGGCTCTGATGCCCGCGCGGGCGATGATGTGGGGCAGGATGTGAGACTCCCCCAGTATCTCGTGTACTTCGCTTTTGACTGTGGCGACAAAGGCACCAGCTCTGGGTCCTGCAGACACAGGTCACACACACCTGCGCCAAACAGACAACCAAACAACGCGCCTTGGAAGGTGCGGGTCGCTTCACTGGCTTGGATCGAGGGTTGCCAAGGGAAAGTGGTGCACTGGAAGGTGATGAAGCTGCACGGCTGTTTGCTACCGCAGTACTCCTAGGACATGAGGCTAATCTGGCATCAAACGCAATGCACAAACTACAAATTAAATTCACAGATGAGGCTCTCGGGGCGCACCGGTGCACCACCCTGCTGCGAAGCCAATGCCTGCAAGCCCATTTCCAGCTCGGACGCAGAGTGGCATCGACCACGGTCCGAGGCAGCACTTGAATCAGCTGGCGCAAGGGCCTCTCCATGATAAAATACACAACCCACACTCGCGCGTTGTACACGGTAGCAACGGCAACAAACAACACCTGGCCTGGAAGAACTGGCCCTCCTGTGATGTGTCTTCGAAGGAAGCGCCATGCACCAGCAGGCTGTCCAAACGCAAGGTTTCCTGTCGATCCAAGTGGTCCGAATCCGCCGGTGTGGTTGGCTCCACAGCTGGGGAGGCCACTGAAGCCAGAGGTGACGCCAAGATGGACCTTGCAGGAACGCACAACTGTCACAGCATTTATCCCTTATTTAGACAAAGGCGCATGCGATCACGAGTTCGTGCACGTTGCTCATCAGTAAGCTGCATGGTCTGCAGCAAGTGCTCATCCAGTGCGCGCATCATCGCAGCTGATCTCGAGGCATTGCTTTCCTGGGTACACAAATACTGATCTCTACACTGTAGTGACTTCATCACACATGTACACTGCATGTCCTCCCACATGCGCACAGCGCAAGACCAACGTCTCAAGTATCACTTACACCCATCCATGGACAAGGAACAAGGAAACCAGACCAGTCGCATGGTCGCAAAACTGCGTACTGAATGTGTATGTGTTGTGTGGCGGGCAAACACAATGTGTATACACCAACTGCACGCAATACAGCACGATGGAGTTAGCGCAGCCGACAGCTAAGAATTGTGTCAAGCGAGGCTGCCACGTACGCACACACACTCAACCCACCTGGGCAGTGTTCCTGAAGAGCAGTGGCAGCAATCTCACTTGAGGATGCACTCGGCCCATCTGACCAGTTTTTTTCTAAGCACCATGCACTTAGGTCAATTGAGGATGCCACACGCACGCACTCAGCCCATCTGACCAGTTGTTTTGCTTAAGCACGGTGTGCGCAGTTAAGTCAATTGAGGTCAATTGAGGATGCCACACGCACGCACTCAGCCCATCTGACCAGTTTTTTTGCTTAAGCACGGTGTGCGCAGTTAAGTCAATTGAGGTCAATTGAGGATGCCACACGCACGCACTCAGCCCATCTGACCAGTTTTTTTTCTTCAGGTACGGTGCACTTATATAAGTCAATTGAAGTCAATTGAGGGTGCCACACGCACCCACTCAGCCCCATCTGACCAGTTTTTTCTCAAGCACGGTGTACTTAAGTCAATTGAGGTCAATTAATTGAGGATGCCACACGCACCCACTCAGCCCCATCTGACCAGTTTTTCTCAAGCACGGTGTACTTAGTGCAGGACGAGCATCATCATCAGCCACACCAGATGGCGAGGAAGACATAGCGCAGCGACTATGCGTGTCGCCCGATGCGACCAAATGCCCTTGAGCCAGCACACACATGTGCCGCAACACTATTGAAACCACATCAAGCCAAACATGTTCATGACTTTGGTCGACGCGACCGAAAAAGTACGGTTTCTGGCAAAGTGTAAATTTTTACGCTTTTTTACGCTTTTTTACGCCGTTTTTACGCTTTTTTACGCCCTGGCAAAATCGGCAAAAAACATAAACAGTGCAACCGAGTGTGTGAGTAATCAGTACTACTTTGGTTTCAATGCAGATCACTCCATCCCAGGCGGCGCACAAGGCGTGTTTGTTTTTCCCTCAACGAATGCTTCTACACCTATACAAAATCAGCAGGCCACCCTGCAGGCAAAGCAAAGCCCTGGATGCCCAGTATGTAGCTCACCACATCACGCAGCTGTGCCTTAAGGGCTTGGGGGCACATTCCGACATTGAGCATTGAAAGTGCAGCGCACAATGTGTGTGACAAGACGCTGTGCCCTCAAGCCAGTCAATGGGGCCACTGAAAAGCTTGCGGATTTCATCATCCTACAAGGCAAGATGTCCAAGCAGGGCAAACACAGCTGGTGTTAAAGCCATGTCCTCACTGTAGCCAGGTGACGACCGCCACGCAAACATAGGCTCACAGGCAGTTCTACACCCTGCGCAGTCCTGACACCCGCACACCAGTCAAAAAGCTCTACAGGCTTTGCGCTGCTTTTCTTGCTGAGTCCTTGCAGCAATCCTGCTGCCAGCTGTCAAGGAGAGCATTTGCAAATTCAACTGGATATGACCTGGGCCATGGGACTACAACACCCCATACAAAAGGGTGAAGGTGAGATATGCAGTCACCAACAACCTTCAATGACCACATCTGGATCAACACAGTGCAACTCGTGTACTGCACACCCAGCAGCGCAACAGTAAGCAAGTGGCTGGCTTGACTTGAGCTTGTCAGGGATGCCAGTGAGCCGAAGGCGCCCACCCTCCTAGTACAAGGACACACACATGCTGTGTGAGCATATGACACACCCGTGCACACACACACACACGCAAGCCATAGCCAAGGGGCATCATGCTTCGAACTCATGAGAGATCCAGTTTGGTGGATGCGATCTGTCAGATCCACACCAGCCATCCAGCCAAAGGCCATGTGGTTGCTGTAGAGCCAGGTTGGTTTCAGTGTCATGGCACCAAACGCGGCCTGAGCTAAGCGAGTCCTGTACACATCTACCACTGACAGATAGTGCTGGAAGATATCAAGCCGCTCCATGGCAGAGCCTGATTGGTGCGCTGGTTGTTCTAAAACTGTCCAAATGTCCATAGCATTGGCAAGCAAAGCCAGCACTATGGATCGCGCAGCCACCAAGTTGGCAACACGCACTGTGGGCTCGGATTGGAGTCCTCCAGGACACAAGAAGCTCCGGCGGCTGGTCCCCATATTGCTGAAAGTAAAAGACGAACCTGAAAGACCATCATGATTATGCACATCACCATCATTCACACGCAACAATCTGCACAAATGCAGGGCCAGGCCACAAGGAGGCGCAAGTAGCAAAAATCCTCTTCTGCGGAGTCTTCTGACCAGAACCACTGCCAGCCTGAGTTGCATCCACGCAAGCTAAACATGAATGTAACAATCGACTTAAGTCGGTGATGTCTGCAAAAATTGTGTCAGCTAAGAGGCAGGAAGCCACTTGCAGTGGTCATATCAAGGCCACACCCAGAGTCGCGGTCAAAACTACGAACTGCAAGAAACCGACCCCTAGCCTCATGTGAGAAGTTGCCACGGCCTGAAAATAATTCCACCACATCCAGATCATTGTATACATCATCAATGCAGTGCACATAGCAGAGCAAATGGAGGATCACCACTAAAGATCGGGGCCTCAGCTGCTTGAACCGCGCACACACACGCCACGCACAAACGCATGTGCGACAATCACCCACTCAAAGTGTCATGATATGATGCAGTGAAGCTTCACATGGCATTTCAGCAAGGAGTCAACAAGTGGGAATGGGCCCACGGGCTGCCATTGGCTGGGTGGCATGGGGATCAGCAGGCACACAGGCCCAAGATGTTTGTGATCATGCGC